GGGGTTATTCAAATGGTTACACACTCAACTAACTGAAAGGTTGTGAAAGGTTGGTGGTTGGAGCCTACCCCGAGGTAACGTCAGAAAAAAGGTCTGGTGATCATCTTCTGAAAGGTCATAGTCTTGAAAATCCTACAGAGCACAGTTTTACTCTGCACACATGGGGTCGCCGTAAGTCAAATCAGCTGGACAGCACACCCTAGTCCTGCTAAGTCAGCCTCAGGGAGCAGGGGTGGAATCTGTATGTTTGATGTGTTGGTCCCTGTTGCTGAGTGATTCCGCCTCTGGCTGAGCCCTTAGGGAGCTCCCAGGCCAATGGGAAGACCAACCAACCAGTTGTGATAAAGCAGGTCCCAGCTCATGGCTACCCCTTAGGTGTCAGAATAGAAGAGGGCTCCAGCCGGCTTTCCGTGGCTGATTTTCAGAAATAGGCCTTTCTTCCCAGACACCTGTGGGTGGATTCATCGCATAGGTGCCCTCATCTCACAGAGGCCCCTGGCCACTCAATAGCTGGACAGTGGAAGGGTATTGACCTCTGCAGGAGCCCCAGCCTAGGCGAGAGTTGAGTGGACACCCCCTTCTCCCCACGCAGGCGCAGTACCGCCGTGGCCTCGCACTGTCCAAGCAGGCGGCGCGGCTGGGAGCGGTGGCTGGAGGGGTCAGCGAGGCAGACAAAGCAGGGTTCCCAGAGATGGCGGCCTTTGCCACCACCTTGCGGGCCTTCCAAGCTAAGCTGACCCACTTCTACATGGCGGCGGAGCGGCAGCGCACAGACCTGGAGACGCTACTGCACCTCCACCGCTTCTGCAAGAAGGTGAGCCTGTGGCCTCAGGCAAACACCCCCGGGCTGGGGTGCGGTAGGAGCAAGGAGGGGCCGCACTCTTCGCTAGGCTCTGGACATGATTCATCCTCTAACACCCGGGCACCACAGCTCCGTGAGGGGAAGGAGCATTACCCACACTTTCCAGAAGGGAAAACGAGGCTTGAGAGATTAAGTCACCCTCCTAAACTTGGTTCAGCTGACCCCTGACCCCAGCTTGTCCCTACACTAGGCAGCTTCTTAGCCACCAGGATGAAGGATCTTCAGGTACCACCTGCTTCTTATATGAGAAGGTTTCAAAAAGTTTGTGGGAAAATTCAATTATCTTTCAATTCCTCCTTGGAATTGGGGTGGTAGCCTGGACCTTCCCAGAATACCATCAAAGCTGTGACGTTCTTCACACACATTGATCTCTGCAGGCAGCTTTAGGGGGTCAGGATCACCCCAGAAAGTTCCAGGCCAAGGACTTGCATCTCATCCCAACCTCTGTTGCAGAGTTAGGGAAATGGTTCAGAGAGGGGCCTACACTAAGTCAGAGTCACAAAGCAAGCCAATGGCAGACTAGCATTCTACTGTTCTTTCCGCCACCTTGTGTCCTGGACTAGGTAGGTAGCAGGAGCTGAGGAAGGAGGGATGGGTCCAAAGGCTGCTCTGAACACCCTCAGAACAGAAGTCTCAGACAGAGTTTGGTAAGGAGAAGGGGGTGACCCTACTGTGTATGTGAGGGATGATGTTGGGGTGGGAGGCAAGAAGAACTCTACTTTGCATCTGTCCTCTTTTGGCAACTCAGTGCAGCAACACCGATCAACCTTGTTTTACAGATAAGGAAACTGAGGCCCAGAGAGGGGAATGACCTTGCTTGAGACTATAGAACTGGAGAGTAGAGCTGGGATTTGAACACAGATGTGTCCGTGTTCTAGAAACTGCCTTATGTCCTTCTCTAGAAAGAGAAGTGGAAATGGCAGCAGATTCCTATGTTGAATTTAAGCAGACATGAAAATGAGGATGGTGTTAATGACAATGAAGATGATGAGATAAGGGGGTACCACATTACTGAGTGCATCTTCAGTGTCAATAAATGCTCTACACACCTTACCTGATTTCATGTTCATTGCAGCTTTATGAGGAAGAAGGATCAACATTGTTCCCATGATACAGATGAGGAAACAGAGGTCCCAAGTGACTTGTTTAAGGTCCCCGAGAGGGTTGATGATCAAGCAGGGCCTGACTGAAGAGCCCCACCCCTCCTAAATCCATGCAGGCAAGCCCCTCATTATTCTGAAAGGAAAACTGAGACTGGGACAACTGTGACCCAACTGGGACAAGCACCCACACCACTGGCCCGAATTCAGTACCCTCAGCTGCCCCTTGCACTTGTCAACAAGGACCGTGCATGGGAAGAGCCTAACTCTAGCTGTCAAACTGGCCCATTACGAAGACAGAGAACACAGGATGCTTCTGAGGTTGACTCGTGCCTCAGAGGACAGGCCACTCTGTGTCTGTCTGGGGCATCAGGCAACTTGAGGAACAGCCAGGATGCAGATGTGAGCACCAACAGCCACAGAGATCTCTCTCCTTCCCAATTATACGGGTGTCCGAGGGTGAGGTGGAAGTAGAGTCTTTGACCTAAGTCAGGGCTCCTCTGGGCCTCGGCTCCTGGTCTGTAATCATAATAATGACAATAATTGCTGATACTTACGTGGTTCTTATGTACCAACCCTGCCCTAGTCATTACTCACATTGTCTGATTGTCACATTAACCCTATGAGGCAGATACTATTATTACTCCCATTTCCCACATGAGAGAACACAGAGAGGTCAGATAACTCACTCAGGGTCACACAGCCAGAAAGTGGCAGAGCTAAGACCCAAAACCCAGACTATTTGGCTTCAGTGCCAGTCTAGCCGAGTAATGAGAGAATTAAATATAAGTGATCCCCTGGCACAGGGTTTTGCTCAACTTTGGAATGATTATTATTAACATCAATAATAATAAAAGAAAGAGTAGTAATGTCTGAAGAGCTAGGAACATCTGGAAGCTTCTCTCCCTTGCTCGCTAATTTCAGCTAATAACCCACCTCTCTCCAGGCTTTTTAAAAATATGGAATTACTATTATAAGGATTCCTGGTGGCAATGTAGGGTAAGCACTGAACTGCTAACCACGAAGTCAGCCACTACGAACTATGACCCACCAGCCACTCCTTGGGAGACAGATAAGGCTTTCTGTTCTTATAAAGATTTACAGCCTCAGAAACCATACAGGGTTGCTATGAGTCAGAACCAACTTGATGGCAATTTGTTGGAATTTTAGAGTTTATGACTAATATGGCTGTTATTTTTTTTCTAAATACTATTTTATTGCATTTTTTTATGAAAATACGCACAGCAAAAGCGGTTCCCTCCCATTCAACAATTACTTCTTTAGTGGCATTAGTTACCTTCTTACTATTGCAGTTTGTTTTTATAAAAGTTGAATAATTATAATGAAGCCATCAACGCAGATCTACCATGGCTACCATGATCAGCACCCCATCTGTATTTGCTGGGATCTCATTATCATTTAAAACTTTGTTTTGTTTTGTTGTTGAGAATATATGCAGCAATTCAACTCTACTGTTTCTACATGTACAGCTCAGAGGCCTTGATGGCATTCCTCGAGTTGTACAAACGTTCTCATCCTCCGTTTCTCAGTTGTCCCTCCCCCTTTAACAGAAACTCACAGCCTCTGAATGTCCCTGTCTAATCTTCAGAGTTGCTGTTGTCACTCTGATCCCATGTAGATCGTTCTTAAAAGGGCATAATGCTCAAGGCAGACATTTTTTACTCGCTAAGTTAAACTCTTATTTGGTTTTAAGAAGACTACATGAGATATTTGTGGTGTAAAATTTTAAAGTTTATCTCAGGCTTCATCCATCCCTTCTGGCTCCAGAAAATCTGGAGTTGATGAGAATTTGAAATTCTGTTTTGCCTTTTCCCCCTTTGATCAGCATTCTTCTATAGACTCTTGGATCAAAATGTTCAGTAACGATAGTCAGTGTACCATCCAGTTCTTTAGGTTTCATGGCAAATGGAGCAGTTGTTCATGGAGGTAAGTAGCCACACACTCTATTTCCTCCTCCCATCCCTGCCTCTCCTTCCTTTGTTGTGTCAGGCAAGTAGAGACCAGCTGTTGTGCCTTAGATGACTGCTTGCAAGCTTTTCAGGCACTAACCACAACTAAGGACTTCTGGTAGCATAGTGGTTACGAGTCAGGCTGCTAACCTCAAGATCAGCAGCTTGAAATTACCAGCAATCCTGAAGGAGAAAGATGAGGCTTTTTGCTCCTGTAAAGATTTATAGCTCCAGAAACAGGGTCACTGTGAGTCAGAACCGACTCCACAGCATACCACTGCCACCACCATACACAACTAAGAGGTAGAACAGAAGCACTGAGCTTAATATTAGGCCAGTTAAGTGGGATGTCCTATGAAACCATGACCCTACACCTCCAAACCAAGTAACTAAATCTCCTGAGGTTTTTGGTTGTAGATAAGCAAACTCAACAGCTACTCATTTTTGTTGTTGTAAATATATCAATCATACATCTTTTTATAGGCATATAGCTTATTGACAGCAATGATAATAATTGGCTATGCAGTCCTACCCTTAATCAGTGTGAGTTTGTCCATCATTCCCCTTCCTCCTGCCCCTGGTTGTTGTTCAGTGCTATCGAGTAGGTTCCAACTCATAACGATCCTGCATAGGGTTACGGAGGGTTTTAAAAAAATCTTTGTGGGAGCAGAAAGCCTCATCTTTCTTCCATAGGGCAGCTGGTGGGCTTGAACCACCAACCATGTGATTTGAAGTCCAGTGCTTATTGTTTGTTGTTTTTGTTGAATGCCGTTGAGTCGATTCCGTCCCATAGCGACCCGTATATGGTTTCCAAGAAGTGACTGGTGAGCTTGAACCACTCACCTTGAGATTCAAATGACTTTGCAGTCCAGCGCATTAGCCCACAGTGCTACACAGGACGCCAGTGCTTATTGTAACCGCTAATAAACTCTAGTCTCTATAGATTTACCTTTCATTGTCTTTTTATAGATGACTTCATATAATATTTGTCCTTTTGTGATTGACTTATTTCACGCAACGTACATTCTGTCTTCATGTATGCAGTATGTATCAAGACTGTTCCTTATCTCACTGTGCGTATGTATCACATTTTGTTTATCCATTCATCTGTTGATGGACATTTAGGTTATTAGTTCCAACATTTGACTATTGTGAACGGTGCTACAATGAACATTAGTGTACAAGTCTCTGAGTCTCTGCCTTCAAGTCTTGGGTATATACCTAGGAGTGGAATTGCTGGTCACGTGGTAATTCTACTTTTAGCTTTTCTAGGAACTGCCACACTGCTTTCCATGACTGTACCATTTTGTATTTATATCAGCAATGAATGGAGTTTTGGTCTGGTGCTGTAGGATAACCTAACTAACCACAAGGTCAGTGGTTCAAACCCACCAGCTGTTCCTTGGGAACCTCATACAGGGTCACTATGAGTTGGAGCCAACTCGATGTTGTGTAACAACAACATCAGTAATGTCTAAGGAATCCAGTTTCCCTCTTCCTCACCAACAGCTGCTATCTTCTCAGTGTCTAAACTGTGTTTAAACTTAGTCATCTTGTTGTTGTTGCTCAGTGCTGTCGAGTTGGTTCCAACTCATAGTGACCCTCTACAGAATTTCTGAGGCTGTAAATCTTTGTGGGAGCAGAAAGCTTCATCTTTCTCCATTGGAGCAGCTGGTGGGCTTGAACCAGTGGACTTTGCGGTTTGCAGTCCTGTGCTTTTCCTACAGAGCCACTGTGCTCCCACTAGCCATCTTGTTGTTGTTATTGTTAAGTGCTGTGGAGTGGGTTCCAACTCATTGCAACCCTGTATTGGGTGCCCAAGGAGTGGCTGGTGAGCTTGAACTGCCAACCTTGCAGTTCAAACCAGCCTTGTAGTATAGCACCACACCAGGACTGAAATGGTATCTCATTGTGCTTTTGAGTTGCATCTTTCTGATGGTTAACAATGCTGAGCATCTTTTTATGTGTTTGGTCGTCATCTGAATGTCCTCTTTGATGCATTTCTATCCAAGTCTTTGCTCATTTTATGATTGAGTTATTTGACTTTGTGTTGTTAAGTTGTCGAAGTTTTTATATGCTTTTTGCTAATTAGATTCTTACCAGATATATGGTTTCAGAAGATATTTGCCTACTCAGTACCTTGTGTATTCACTTTTTTTGGTAGTCTTTTGATGAGCAGAAGCTTTTAATTTCTATGAGGTTCCATTTATTGATTTTGTTTTTTATTTTATTGTTTGTATTTTTGTTATGTATTAGATAATCCATTGTTTAAAACTAGGCCCAATAGCGTTTTCCCTGCATTTTCTTCTAAGATTTTTATGATTGTAGTTTTCACATTTAAGTCCTTAAATCCATTTTGAATTTGGTTTTGTGTATGGTGTGAGGAATGGATTCTGTTTTGCTTTTCTGCCTGTGGAAATCCAATTGGCACCATTTATTGAAGACAGGCATTATTATTACTAACAGTAGGCATTGTAATAATGCCTCCAGGGTTAGGAGCATCTGGAAGCGTTCCCCTCGTACCTAGTTTCAGTCAATTTTCTCCCCATTAACCTCACCTGAGTAAACCAAGTTTGTTCCAGCCCAGAGGCTTTTGCATATGCTGTTCCCTCAGCCTGGACTGCTCTTCCATTTGACTGGGTGTTGTCTTAGTTCAACTCTCAACTCATAAGGTGGGAGCCCTGGTGTGGCGTTGTAAAATGGGCACTGGATTGCTAACCATAGGTTATTGGTTCAAATCCACCAGCCACTCCTCAGAAATCCTATACAGGGTCACTATAAGTGGGTGCCAACTCATCAGCACTTAGCAACAACAACAAGTGCTCACCTGTCCCCTCTCAGAGAGGTCTTTCCAGCACCCCTCTGGCCCTATCCAAAGCAGCCAGCCATTCCCCATTTTCTCCTACCAGGCTGTTCATGGTGATGGGAAATTATCCTGTTGCTTCATCGCTTGCTTGTTTCTGTCCCTCTCACCCTGTGAGGTGAGCCCGACTTGTTCCCCAGCTGTGCCCCATGTCCAATGCCGGATCAGCACACACACCATGCACAGTAAAGGCACTGAGGTGGCGATGGAGCTGGAGTGGAGAGTAGGCAGAGGAAGGGATGGGAGGGCATGGGCAAAGTGACCAGTGGGAGTAGCATTCCCAAATGTGAGACCCCAGCCCCACCCCCTCTGACAGCCAGCAGGCACCTGGTCTGTGCTCTTCTCCTCTCTGGCCCTAAATTGAATCCTTACAAGGGGTTGGAGAGCCTGACCTGGAAGATTCAGACAGACAGGACAGCTCAGCCTGTGCTGGTTCAGCCAGAGTGAGGAGCATGCAAGCCGCAGCTTTGGCACTAAATAATCATAACACGGTTGTGCCACTAACCGAGATTTATGGAGCCCTTTCCCGGCCATGAGCTCCGTGTGCTTCAGCGAATATGAAGCCATTTATCTAAAGACAAGTTCCCTTAATCCGCGGAAAGATGGTCTCCTCAGAGAAAATGGTTCTCCAATCCCCACAGCCTAACAGCTCGCTGTCGGGTTTAAATTAATGGAGAGAGAGATTATGTTTTTCACAAGCCTCTGGGACGTAGTTGGCTCCTTTGCAGTCTGCAGACATTTTGTGGGTGCAGCGGGAACAGGAAGAATCACAAAATGGGGGCAGCAGAGTGTGGGAGCTGACTCCTCCCCCCTCCAGGTGTGCTTGGGAGGGCTCTCCCCAAACCTGCACCAGATTCTGTACAAAGAAGTGTTGAGAAGACGCTTCTGGACGGCCAGACAGGTCTGAGTTCAAGTAGAAGCTTGCCCCTGACCTGCTGTGTGGCTGGGGCAAGTGGCTTCACCTCTCTGAGCTTCAGTTTCCTCCTGTGTCAGATGAGCTCTTTGTGCATAAAATGCATGGGGCCTGGCACACCCACACATTCAGTAAACATCAGCAATACAATTCTAGTAATGCAAGCTCAGATTCCAAATTTTCAGTTCTCAAAAGGATTCTTCATGATCCTCTAGTTCTACGACCCATTTTGCAGAAGGAGAAATTGAGTCCCAGAGAGGGCTAAGTCCTTGTTAGTGCCTATAGGTTTATTAGAAAATGCTGGGAGGTTCTGAGGATGCTGGGGCTTGTATGTGAACACCCCCTCACCCTCCATAAGGGAGGGAAACCTTTGTTATTGCCATCAGCATGAATCATGGCTAAACTGATGAGGGTCCTAACATTACTTGGTCACATCTAACTCAGTCAGGCAATAATTACTTGTCAGGCCCTCTCTGCCCAGAGAGGCACATCGTTCGCCTCATGGGTCCTCCAGGCTTCCGTGCCCAGTCTGAGCCTCACTTCTCTCTCTCTTGTCCCCAGATGTCCTGGTTCCACATGGACTGTCAGGATTTGATGACCCAGCTCAGGCTGGGCAAGGCCCAAGGGGCCAGTCCTGGGGACCAATGCCGCCTCCACCGCTACCTGCAGCGGCTGGCCTCCGAGTTCCCTGCTGAGAAGCTCACAGCCATGAGTCTGCAAGTGACCTCTCTGAGCTGGGCAGGCCTGGGCCGGGATCTGTGGGAAGAGGCCCAGAGCCAACATGAGGAGATCCGAACTCTCCTGAAGAAGGCGTTGGCCCACTGTCCCTGCCCAACAACTTCTGCCACCCACTCAGCACACGCAGAACTGAAAGGGGCATTTGCCAAGGTTCTGGGTCTGAATAGAGATGTCTTTTCAAGGGCAAGGCGGGACCCACTCCTGCAGGACTCACTGGGTGTGGAGCATCTGCCAAAATCCTCTTGGCTCTCTCAGGCCACCAGAAATGGGCAGAACAGAAATTTCCAGCCATGTCCTCCACCCAAAGAAGCGGGCCAGGCTGCAGAGGCTGATGAAGGCAACGGCCCCCATGAGCCCCTGGATGCTGCCCCTGAGTGTTCTCCTCCTATCTCCTCCTGCCAGCAGCCTCCCAGACAGCTGGACCTGAGCTCTCCCAGCCAGGTCCCTTGCCTGACTGGGGGCAGCTTCTCCTCAGAAGGAACAGACTCACATACATCTCTGGAGGACTCCCTCGAGACAAGTCCCGCTGCATCCCTCAAGCTGGCAGCCCTGTGAATTACGGCAGGCTCTGGGGGTAGCTGGGATGCAATGACTTTACAGAGGAAGTGGGGAGCCCTGGCCAATGCTGCGGAGGTGTGGCTGTTGAGCCCTGATTGTATGTTTGGCCTGTGCTGTGAGGATCATAATTGTGGACCTTCTTCCAGCTCCAGGAGACCCCAGAGACTGGATTCTCACACGTTTAGAAGAGTAAGGGTGTGTGTCAGGACCAGTATGCAATAAAGCACATGGTTGGCTCTCTAACTCTGGGTGTCATTATGGAATGAGGAGGTAGGACAGGCCCTTCCAAAGGTTGCACTCTCAGCAGGCCAAACACCATTTAGAGTTCAGGAATCTACCCAAGCTTTCCCTTTGACAAGAGGAGCAATGTTGCCCTCATACTGAATCCACACAGAGGTTGATTTGGGAGTGGCTTCTTGCCTTAGGGTTCCCATGGAAGTGGATTTTGAGACAAGGATTCAAGGGTAAGTTTATTTGGCAGTGTGGTCAAGTCTAGGGCTGCTGTGACAAAATACTGCCAAGGGGTGCCTTACAAGAAGAAAGAACTATTGTCTCAATGTTCTGGAAGCTATTAATCCACATTTCGGGTGTCGTCAAGGACATGCCCTCTCCGAAGTTTCTAGGGAAGGGGGCTGTCTTCTCTTGCCCAGCTCCTAGTAGCCCCAGGCATTCCTTGGCTTGTAGCTAATAACCCAGTTGTCACACTGCCATCTTCTGTCTGCCTGTCTCTGTGTCTCTTCTCTCTCATAGGACACAGCTCAGGTTAAACTAGGACCCACTACTCCAATATGACCTCATGTTAACTGATAATATCTTCAAAGACCCTATTTCCAAACAAAAGTCACTTCACAGGCATCAGATCTTCAACATAAATATGGTTTTGTTGTTGCTAAGTGTTGTTAAGTTCCAACTCATAGGGACCCTGTATAGGATTGCCAAGGTTTCATATCTTCACGGGAGCAGAAAGCCACATCTTTCTTCTGTGTGACATCTGACTGGAGAACACAGTTCAACCCATAACCAGTGGTGGTCCCAGTGACCTCTGGGGATGTGAAGGAGTGAGTCCGGGAAGTGAAGACAGCCAGTAAAGAGTGTCGTATCCATTGTGGGCAATGGGAGCTCAGTCCCACTGGGGGTCTCTGGGAAACAGAGTGGAACATGTCCCAGACTTCCAATCCAAGGGGCAAGGGGATGAAGTACTTCTCCACCAACTGCCATGAGTGAGTGGCTGAGGACTACTACCAGGTAGCAATAATTCCTCAGCACTCTACAGAAGGGCTTTAGCTGAGATATACCTACCTGCTGGAGCTGCCAGCACTAGAGTGAGCTGAAGGGGTAAGCATTCTCTGTGTTGCTTGGCTTCTCCACTGGGTGTTGTTGTTGTTGAAGGGTGCCATCGAGTCGATACCGACCCATAGCAACCTTATGCACAGCAGAACGAAACACTGCCCGATCCCGGGCCAACCTCACCACTGTTGCCACGCTTGAGTCCATCGATGCTGCCACTTGGCCTGTCTATCTCGTTGGGGGTCTTCCTCTTTTTCTCTGACCCTCCACCTTACCAAACAGGATATCCTTCTCCAGCAACTGATCCCTCCTGACAATATGTCCGAAGTATGAGAGACGAAGTTTGGTCATCTTGGCCTCCAAGGAGCACTCTAGCTGCACTTCTTCCAAAACGGACCTGTTGGTTCTTTTCGCAGCCCATGGTACTTTCAATATTCTCCTCCAACACCATAACTCAAAAGCATCAATTATTCTACAGTCTTCCTTATTCACTGTCCAGCTTTCACATGCATATGAGATCATTGAAAATACCATGGCTTGGGTCAGATACACCTTAGTCCTCAAGCTGACATCTTTGCTCTTCAATACTTTAAAAAGGTCTTGTGCAGCACATTTGCCTAATGCAATACGTCGTTTGATCTCTTGACTGCTGCTTCCATGAGTGTTGATAGTTGATCCAAGAAAAATGAAGTCCTTGACAACTTCAATCTTTTCTCCATTGATAAGAATTTCACTTATTGGTCCAGTGGTGAGGATTTTTGTTTTCTTTACATTGAGATGTAATCCATAATGAAGGCTGTGCTCTTAGATCTTCATCAGTAAATGTTTTAAGTCCTCTTCACTTTCAGCAAGCAAGGTTGTATCACCTGCATATCGCAGCTTGTTAATGAGTCTTCCTCTAATCCTGATGCCACGTTTTTCTTCATATGACCCAGTTTCTCAGATTATTTGCTCAACATACAGGTTGAATAAGTATGGTGAAAGAATACAACCTTGTCACACACTTTTTTTAAATTTTAAACCGTTCAATGTTCCCAGGTACAGATTCCTCATGAGCACAATTAAGTGTTCTGGAATACTCATACTTTGCAATGTTGTCCATAGCTTGTCATGAGCCACACAATCAAAACATTTTGTGTAGTCAATAAAGCACAGGTAAACATTTTTCTGGTATTCTCTGCTTTCAGCCAAGATCCATCGGACATCAGCAATGATATCCCTCGTTCCACAGCCTCTTCCAAATCCGGCTTGAACCTCTGGAAGTTCTCTGTCAATGTATGCTTGCAGCCGTTTCTGCATTACCTTTAGCAAAACTACTCTCAAGGGATATCAAAGAGATTGTCCGATGATTTCCGCATTCCATTGGGTCACCTTTCTTTGGAATGGGCACAAATACGGATCTCTTCCACTCATTCGGCCAGATAGTCATCTTCCAAAATTTCTTGGCAGAGATGAGTGAGTGCCTCCTGTGCCACCTCACTTTCTTGAAAGATTTCAATTTTTATTCCATCAATTCCTGGTGACTTGTTCTTTGCCAATTCCTTCAATGCACCTTGGACTTCCTCCTTTAGTATCATTGGATCTTGATCATATATGCTACCTCTTGAAATGGCTGAACATTAACCATTTCCATTTGGTACAGTGACTGTGTATTCCTTCCATCTTCTCTTGATGCTTCCTGCATCATTCAATAATTTGCCCAGAGAATCCTTCAATAACAAAAGTCGAGGCTTGAATTTTTTCTTCAGTTCCCCAGCTTGAGAAATGCTGAATGTGTTCTTCCTTTTTGGTTGTTCTGATTCATCTTTGCACATTTTGTTGTAATATTTGGCTTTATCTTCTCAAGCTGATCTTTGAATTTTTCTGTTCAGCTCTTGTACCTCCTCATTTCTTCCATTTGCTTTAGCATCTCTGTGCTGGAGATTAAGTTTCAGTGTCTTTTCTGACATCCATTTTGACCTTTTCTTTCTTTCTTGTCTTCTCAGTGACCTTTTGCTTCCTGTATGATGTTCTTGATGTCATCCCACAACTATTCTGGTCTTTAGTCTTTAGTGTTTGATGTATCAAATCTGTGCTTCAGATGATCTCTAAATTCAGGTGGGATCTATTCAAGGTCATATTTTGGCTCTTGTCGACTTGTTTTCATTTTCTTCAGCTTCAGTTTGAATTTGTATATGAGTAATTGATAGTCTGTTTTGCAGTCTGCCCCTGGCCTTGTTTTGACTGATGATATGGAGCTTTTCCATCGTCTCTTTCCACAGATATAGTCAATTTGATTTCTATGTATTCCATCTGGTGAGGTCCATGTGTATAGTCATCTCTTATGGTGTCTAAAGAAGGTATCTGAAATGAGCAAATCATTGGTTTTGTAGAATTCTATCATGTGTTCTCCAGCATCATTTCTATCACCAAGGCCTCATTTTCCAACTACTGATCCTTCCTCTTTGCCCCCAACCTTTGCATTCTAATCACCAGTAATGATCAATACATCTTGATTGCATGTTTGATCAAGTTCAGATTGAAGAAGTTGGTAGAATTCTTCTATTTCATCCTCACTGGCTTTAGTGATGGGTGTATAAATTTGAATAATAGTGGTATTAACTGGGCTTCCCTGTAGGCTCATGGATATTATCCTATCACAGACAGCGTTGTACCTTATGACTGATCTGGATATGTTCTTTTTGACAATGAATGCAACACCATTGCTCTTCAATTGTCATTTCTGACATAGTAAACCATGTGGTCATCAGATTAAAAATGGCCAATACCAGTCCATTTCAGCTCACTAATGCCTAAGATATTGATGTTTATGAGTTCCATTTCATTTTTGACAACTTTCAATTTTCCCAGATTCGTACTTTATACATTCCATGTTCTGATTTTCAATGGCTGTTTTTCTTCGTTTTGAGTTGTGCCCCATCAGCAAATGAAGGTCCCATGGGCTTTTCTCCCACAGGCTTTACTCCATTTGCATCATCACGGTCAAGTCTACTTTGAGGAGGCAGCTCTTCCCCAGTCGCATTTTGAGTACCTTCCAACCTGAGGGGCTCATTTCCTGGCACTATATCTGACAGTGTTTCTCTGCTATTCATAAGGTTTTCAGTGACTAAATATTCAGAAGTAGTTCGTCATTCTTTCTTCTTAGTCTGTCTTCATCTGGAAGCTCATCTGAAACCTGTCCACCATGGGTAACCCTGCTGGTATTTAAAATACCAGTGGCATAACTTTCAGAATCACAGCAACTCACAAGCCTCCACAGTACGACAAACTGACAGATGAGTGGTGGCCGTTTGGTTTTAAGTGGCAACTGTCACTTTAAATTTCTAGAAGGTCTGTGCACGTGCATAGTAGAACCCTCCAGGGGTGGGGGTGGGGTGCCCATTCGCTCAGACATTCCCGCTAGTCACCAGAATAGAGGTGCACAGACAGCGAGAGACCAATGAACAGATACAAAAAAAAAAAAAAAAAGAGAGAGAGAGAGAGAGAGAGAGAGAGAGAATGTCCACACTTGTATCTCCACAGTTCTATCAGGCATTCGTAGCTGTTCTGATCCTTCTCCCTCTTGGTCTCTCCCAAGATGGCAGCTCCAGGAGAAGCTTTGCGTCTTGAATTAGAAAGTGCTGGATTTCTTGATTTTGCTATAAATCCCCCTAGCTGTAAGCCTTCCAAGCTTCTAAATATTCCTTTATATGTGGTTCAGAGTTCTAGCA